CTCCCTTCTCTCTTCAAAATAATCTTCCAATAAAGGAAGATTATTTTCCGAGAACCACAACTGCGAGGTGACGACGCCGATGCTCCGAGGTCCTACAACCAGCGGCGATGTGGCACCAGGGCCTGCCCTTCCGTCGGCCACGCTCTTCCGGCGATCGCGATCCTGCCTTCTGTCAGACTGGCTGCACCATCGCTGTTCCTCCAGCGGTCTCCATACTACCGGCATGTCCTCGGACGGTAGCTCCTCTGGTATGGCCTCGGACGGTAGCTCCTCCGGCTTCTCCTCGGCAGGCAGCTCCTCCAGGGTGCCTTTGCCCAGCAGTTCCTCTGGCACGTCCTGGACATATAGCTCCTCCACTCCAACTGGTCTTTCGGGTGCGCATTCAGCACCTACCAGTTGCTCCTCCGGTGCGTCTTCGACAGGTAGCTCCTCCTCGGCAGGTAGCTCCTCCGGCGCATCCTCGGACGGCAGTTCCTCAGGCGGGCACATGCCCACCGGATCCTTGGGCGGGTATCCCAAGCTAGCACCCACCAGCTGTTCCTCTTGCGCGTCCTCGGCATGCAAATCCTCCTGCGCGACCTCGGCAGGCAACTCCTCCTGCGCGTCCTCGGCAGGCAACTCCTCCTGCGCGACCTCGGCAGGCAACTCCTCCTGCGCGTCCTCGGCAGGCAACTCCTCCTGCGCGTCCTCGGCAGGCAACTCCTCCAGGGTATCCTCGGACCGCAGCTTCTCAGGCAGACACATATCCACCGGATCCTTGGGCGGGCATCCCAAGCTGGCTGGTTGTTCGGGCGCACATCCTGCACCCACCAGCTGTTCCTCCGGCGCGTCCCTGGCATGCAGCTCCTCCGATACGTCCTCGGTAGGCAGCTCCTCCGACATGTCCTTGGCAGGCAGTTCCTGCGGCATATCGATGCCCACCAGATCCTTGGGCGGGTGTCCCAAGCTAGCTGGTCGTTCGGGCGCACGTCCTGCACCCACCAGCTGTTCCTCCGGTGCATCCTCTGCGGGCAGCTCCTCCTGCGCGACCTCGGTAGGCAGCTCCTCCGACACGTCCTCGGCAGGTAGTTCCTGCGGCAGACCGGCACCCACCAAATCCTTGGGCGGGTGTCCCAAGCTAGCTGGTCGTTCGGGCGCACATCCAGCACCCACCAGCTGTTCCTCCGGCGCGTCCTCGGCAGGCAGTTCCTCCGGCAGTCCGATGCCCACTATATCCTTGGGTGAGCATCCCACGCCAACTGGTCGTTCGGGTGCACATCCCGCACCCACCAGTTGCACAAGCGGACATGCAAGGGCGGTCAGCTCCTCTGACTTCCGTGCCGGTGCAGCTTCCTCTGGCGTGCATTTCGCCGTCGGCCGAGGCTTCTTCGACCGTGCCTGCTTCTTCCGACGGCCGTTCCCCGGGAGTCTCCACCGCTTTTGTCCGTCTTGCCGGCCGGTTTCCCGCTGCGACGGTTCCTTGGGCAGACGGATCGTGTCCATGTGCGACTCCGTGGTCAGTCGCTCCTCTGGACAGCGTTCTACTCCCGGGAGTTTCACCTGAGTCGCCCGGACGACGTGTTCCCTTGCGAGAGGAGGGTCAGAGCAAGGCCAACAGAGAGGACCCACGTTCCTCCACAGCGCTTGCTCTGCTTTCCGCCGTCTTTCCTCCTCGCGCCTCTTGCGACGCTGCTGTTCCCGCAGCTGCTCCCGCAGCTGCCTCTCCTCCTCCCGTTTCTGGTAGTAGCGATCCAGCTCCTCGCGTCTGATCCTCTCCTGCTCCTGAATGTAGTGATAGAAGGCCATGCCTTCAAGGCCCAGCCTGTCACCTTCCTCCACGTAGTTCCTCATGGTGCCGTTTTCCAGACCGTCTGATCCTGGCAAGGTCGCCAATGTCAGGTTCTTTGACTTACGGGTGTATCAGAGCGGTCAGGTCAACGGAAACACACCAGAGGAACATACATAAGGTTTATTACTACGGGCACTATTTACACTAACACAAACAGAAACACAGGATATTTACACATAACACAAGGAGAGGATCCAGCGGAGCACACGAGGTCACATGGCGGAAGGGAGCACACAAGTCAAAGTCACGGGACAACTGTAGAATTTTCGACCGGTGCTCCTTTTATGCGCCGTGCCGATGTAAAGGCCGCTACCCTCGTTCCTCGACCGGTGAGCGAGCCAATCGCGAGAGACTCTGAGAGACCAAGCCCGCCGCCTGGACTGAGGTAAACATCGGCGATGGTCCAGAGCAATCTCGCAGTTGTGACACAGTACATATTTTGTGGGGAAAAAGTTTTAACATTAATGGCACTTGTGCTATAGACAGATGGCGTTGAATAATGGTAATTAAGATGATAATGATATTAATATTAATAGTAACTAATAGTAATAATGATAAAAATAATGATAATAATGATAGTGATAATAATAATAATAATGAAAATAATAATGAGAGTAACAATGATAATGATAATAGGAATTATAGTAATAATGCTAATAATAATAATGGTAATAACAATAACAATATTTATTGTTTCGAAGCGTCAAGGATAAAGGGTAGAAAAAATAATCGCTCTTTGCCATTAATTTTTAGTAAAACAAACATCCTTGAATACAGTATTGTAAACTATATTCTACATGAATTAGAATCGAGCCAGTGAATATCAGAAAATAAAAATATACCACAGTGTATTTCTCTATATCATAACCTACACGTATTTCAAACACGTTCTATTAAAGACAGTAAACAGCCTAGCATAGGACTCGAAACATAGCCAGACATAAGAATAACTCTATGTTGAAGGAAAATTCATTCTGTAGCCGACGAGTAACACCTTAAGATTAACTTCAGAGTCACTTCCCCTACTCATGTGGCATATGAGTAAGGACACACAAGGGGCTGTAGAAATGTTGGCACTCCTCGTCCGTGATGTAGTAGTGGTGCTCGTAGGTCATGGCACTGCACCTGAAAAGGAAGTTTGTTTATATGACAAGATGACATGACAAGCTGACATGATTTCCGAAACTAAATTCGCAGAACCGCCATTATTACCGATTTTTCTTCCAAGTTATTTCTCTCTCGTCAGTTATTTCTCTCCTGTCAGCTACTGATTATCATTCTTATCAGTAATTTCTCTTATCGGTTATATTTCTCCCATTACCTATTCCTCACGCCTCAACGTCTCATTCGGATTAAAAAAAAAAAAAAAGAAAGACGAAAAACCCTAAAAAATTCTGCTCGAAATATAATTTTCCACAAATAAGCAGACCAAAAATAAAGGAAAAATATCCATGTTTCTTTACCATCCCTGCTGGCGCTGTTGGGGTGACTGGACGTAGTGATAGCAAGGAGCTCCGGGCAGAGGACTCGGGGGGTCGCTGAAGGGGTCTGTGTGCGGAGGCGACCGAGGAACACACGGGCTAATGTACCTGGTGACATTAAAGCAAATGCTATGCGGTATATATATATATATATATATATATATATATATATATATATATATATATATATATATATATATACATCTGTGCGTATGTATATATAAATGTATATATATATATATATATATATATATATATATATATATATATATATATATATATGTATGAATGCATATATTTATAAGTATTATACACACATATCTATTTGTATATTCATACATATATATATAGACATATATATATATATATATATATATATATATATATATATATATATATATATATATACATATATATATGAATATACATATATAAAAAAACACACACATATATATATGTGTATATATATATATATATATATATATATATATATATATATATATATACACATATATAGATAAATAGATATACATATATATGTGTGTGTGTGTGTGAGAGAGAGAGAGAGACTTGAGAGTGACGATAACAGCAAAAGCAATGGTAATAGCAACAATCACAAAAAATATGAAATGCTGTGTTCTGTTCCAGGGAAAAAAACAATCAACTGGCAACTCACTAAAGACTCCGATTCGCTAAGTCTCTTTTTCACTTTATTTAGCCGACAGTTAATTTCACTTTCATGTGTGTTTGGTATTTATAACATTCATATACAATTTCTATCTTTCTATTGCTTTAAACCATTTTGTACTTATTATTCTTTATGATTATCATTTATTTTTTTTCAGGTAAGTTGGCGAATCGGAATAAGCCACGTGAGTTGCCAGTTTTTGTTTTTTTTTCCTGACACTGGACCGGTGATACGTACTTCTCGCCCCAGTATGGAGAACCCAGAGGCATGGGTGTTTCTTCAGCAACCCACGCCCACGAGTTCACATCCATGTCATATCTGCCTCCGATCCAGAAATCGGTCGTTAATACTGTAACGTTGATTCAGATATATAAATAGATATACATATAAATATAAATATATATAAATTCAGATATATATATAAATTCCTTGTATAGTGCGTTGCGTCTGTGGCATGTATTTATCAAATCAAGAGCAAGGAGCTGTTGAATAAAATGATAGTGATAATGATGATAATAATAATAATGATGATGGTAATGATAATAGTAATAATAATAATAATAATAATAATAATAATAATAATAATAATAGCAATAATAAAAAATCATGGTAATAATAGCAACAGAAAAAAAATCATGATAATAATAATAATTTTAAAAAATAAAATAGTAATAAAATAAAAATCATGATGATGATAATGATAACAATAATAATACAAGGCACGTTTCTCACAATAGAAAAAAAAAAAAAATACGCCGTGCATTGTATAACAGTAAAAAAAAACTTTCCCAATGGATACCTCAAAGACTTTCTACACTTACGCGAAGTTTTCAAATGTTGTATTACTTGCATGAAATTTTGTACGTTGTTCAGGGTCACAAGGTCGCCGAAAATGGACTTGCAGAATTGCCTCGCTTCCGGCCACGGCACCTGTAGCATACAGACACACACTTCAGTCATGCAAAGTATGCGTGTCTAAAGCGCTGAAAACAACGCGATTTAT